CCTGTGCGGTATGCTGAACTCTGCATGTTTAAGGCCTGGTGTTTCCCATGTCGTCCATGCTACGAAGTCTATGCCGGCGGAATGACCGCACCAGTGTCACTGCAAGCTGTGTGTAGCATTCCATGATCTCAGGCGATCTGCACCAGTCAAAGAAATCATGTTGCTGTCTAAGGCAAGCTTTTACTCAAAGCTCGGCCAAGTGGAGGACGCTGGAGTCAACATCATGTCTCGAGCGGACGAGATACAATTCTGACAGGGCCCGCAGCTTCCACAGCCTGGGCGAGACCAGATGGCTCTGCAGGCTACTTTGTGCCAATGTACGCACAATACGTGGGGTTCTCCCAAAGCTGTCTAAAGTTGTGTGTTGAGCCCCTGTTGCAGGCTTTGCCATCGGAACCTGGCACTGTTCGCATGCGACAGGCTGAGGAAAGGTTGTGTCTAGGTTGTCATCGCTTTGTGTCACCTGGACAGTTGAGGCCTCAGGAGCGCTTACAGCACGACAAGCTGCAGCCTCACCCTCCCCAGCCGGATACTTTGCGCAGACAACCTGCCTTTGCAAAGCAGCCAGCTGCTGTTGCACCCCCACACGCACATGCCCAGCCCAGCTCTGGCCAGCAATTGCAACAAAGAGCTGCTGGGGCACACGCAGCACACCATGCAGTGCCGCAGCATTGCGCTGCTCATCACGCGGCAGTTCCGCAGACTCATCGTCCAAGCGCCCACAACCCGCACATTCTTCATCCGCACCAGGTTGCAAAGCACGGCCCGTCTTCGGCACACCCGCAGCCTCCGCCACAGCTCCCGCCACAGCACCCGCCACAGCACCCGCCACAGCACCCACCACAGCACCCACCACAGCGCTCGCCACAGCACCCACCACAGCACCCACTGCAGCTCCCGCCGCAGCTCCCGCCGCAGCACCCACCACAGCACCCACCGCAGCTTCCGGTGGAAGCCCGTGCACACGGAGGCCAAGTCTCAGGAAAGGTGCGCCCTCGCCTGATACGCCATGTTGAGCACATGTTCTCTCTTACTGACCTGTTCCCCTTCGGCGTACTCGCTGCGGCTTCTTACGCATTGCATGCTCCTGGTCCATGCCGCAGCTTTTCTTTCTTGACAGGGCCAACGAAGTCATTGATCAACATTGCCATTTCCAAAGTTGATAAAGTTGAGCCAAACCATGACTCTGCAAATCAAGTGTGGCGCGGTGCCCATTTTGCAATCAGTGCTGCTCGAACGGCTGCCGACATGGAGGCATTCAAGCGTGCAGTGTGTCTATTGAGTCAGTTCAGTTGGTTCAAAAACATCACCGCAAGCACTTTCGGAGTCTGTGAAAGGCGCCTAGTGATGTCAGCGCTTTGCTCCGCAAAGCCGAGACGCGAAGACCCCGGCCGATCAATCCGAGCACCTACAACAGTTTGTTGGAGCCGCGAACCATTCGAACCATTCGAAGGCTAAAGCGAGATGTTGACTCATCTCTGGAAGGGCTTGCTGCCAACAAGGTGGGAGGGAAGGGACCGTAGCGAAGTTGACGTTGCAAGCCAAAGAGGCTGAAGTGAACTCCGCAAGGCAGGTTCCGACGTCGCCATGCAGCAGCGCCAGGAGCTCAGCGCCAAAGATGTTGCAGGCAAAGGATGAAGAGATGAGTGAGACATTGAACTCCGACTTCTCTTCAGACTCTTCAGGTCTCGCGGCTCTCTTTGCGGACTTGACCAACACGACGCAAAGAGTGCGGGAAGAGGCTCGGAAGTTTCCACCGATCCGCCGAAGCCGGCAACGCCATGTCGTGTGCCATGTCGTGCCATGATCAGTGCCGTGTTGTCAGTGTTGCCCTGTTCTGCAGGTGGACGCGATGCCTGAAAAAGGGCGTGCTGCCTGGGACAGGAAGGCAACGCGGCTGGAGGAGGATGTGTGCAGCGCCCAGCTGCGCCCAGCATCAGGTCGCTTCTTCCTTGATGTTTTGAACGTGTTTAAGCTGTTGATAGCTGCTGGCATCCTCAACACGTCGCTCACCTGAGGTCTGTTATCCAACATGCCGTGGACAAGCAGCTTGGATCGTTCTATCGTGCTGGTTCCTGAGCTATCTTGAGCAGATGTGACGGGAGTCGAACGATGTGCCGGAACTGTGAAGGTCAAACGAGAAGAGGAGAATCGCAAGAAACTCCTCGGAGATAGGAAGAAGAAGGATGGCCCTGATGACGAGATGCAGGCCCTTGCTTGCCAGCAGAGCCTCCACCGCGCAAGGCTCCCAAGATCTCTCAAGCACTCCGTGCTTTTGCCCCGTGTGACCAGGGCTTGGTGCGGGAGAACCGCTCTCTGCGAGACTCTGCCGCTGCCCTCGATGAAGTCTTGGAGCAAGCAGGCTCCATCTTTGGAAATCTCGTCGGCCTCCCAGCTTTCCCCAGCTTTTACGTAGAGAACGAGATGCTGTGCAACATGGGTGACATGGTGCAGCTCGGGTGCAAGCACGTGCAGGGCCAAGAGACCTGGAACCAGCAGGTGAACCAGAACAAGGTGCTGAAGAACGCGCGTCGGAAACTCTTGGACGCTGCGAACAGCATTGGGGCACACTTCTTACCGGTGTTGTGGAGCGGTGTCGAGCGTCAGTGTGGAAGTCATGCACTTTGGGAATTTGCGCAGACTTCAGGTGTCGCAGAGCCTTGTGAATGTCATTGACAGAAGACAGACTGGGGACAAGTGGCTGGTCTATGGGGGGTGAGACGCCTACGGGAGCGTTTGTTGAGAGCCTGTTACGCAGCATCCGGAGACGTGCGTTCTGCTTTGTGACAGGATGGCTCTGACGCTGTTCATCTTGTTTTCGCTCTGGTACCTGCTTCGCATGTGAGGCGTGGCCGAACATGCCGGAGTTTTTTTCGTCACATGTCTTCGGTGCAGGAGATCTCGATGCAGGCCAGGATCTCCATGGATTTTTCCACGCGGCCTTCCCTGAGACATTACTCTTGGCGGATGCAGAACCCTATGGTGAGACCCACGCTACCATTGCACACACAGCACAAACAACATGTCCCCCTAAACCCCAAACCCTAAAACCCTAAACCCCCCTCCGTCTCAGCAGAGCTATCGTGAGAGGGCCTGCGGTCAAAACCTGGTGCACTGATGTTGCGAGACGATGTACGGAAGGCGGAAGACTTTGCTGCACCGGCCCAAACGTATCTTGCTCTGTGCGGCCAGCCTGGAATTTGGGGATTAGGCCACGCCGGGAGGGCCACAGGGCCCAAGTTCCACTTGCCACTGCAGAAGCCGCACGGGCGATTCTAGCAGTTCTTGCCATGGGGATCCATGCGCGCCACCGGCCACGAGATCAAGGATGCGCTCATGTTCTCATGTGATGCGGCTTGTGTTGAGCATGAGCATGATGAGACTGAGCCTTTCGACAGGCAAGCGCCGCTCAGCCGTGGCGGGTGGCCCATGCTGCCGCCTTGCACCAGCGCGTTCAGGCCTTCTGAAAACTCGCAAGTTGGAAGTGTGCCGGCAGTGCCGGGTTTGCTCACATGGCTTTAATGTTGCTCGTGTGCCCCATTAGGTGAGCCATGTGAGCCTGCTGGATGTCAACAAGGTTCCGCGATTCCCTTGTGCTGTGAGATGCCATGTGCACTCAACTTCACTTGGGCAGAGCAATTCCTTGACGCTCAGATGTTGGCGGGCGCTGCCAGAGATGGACAGTGGCGTCTCGTGCTGCTCTGGCTTCAGCTTTGAGCTCACAGGGGCAATTTGGGATTTTTGAAGAAAGCTCGGTGTCCGGGTACGCTCCGTGCACCGTCCATGTACATCGAGGTGTGCCCAGATCAAGCTGGACCTGGTCAGTTTCAATTCGGCCATCACTGGTTTGGGGCGGGCGGCACGTTGGTTTCAGGCACAGTGCGCGGCAGCCAGAAGAACAGTCTTTTCCGAGTTCAGCTCACCCCAAAGGCGCTGGACCTCTTCTCGCGCCTTTCGCCTGTCGCTTTGCGCCCCAGCGCTGTCTCCCGCCGGGATCCAAGGAGAGCGAAGTCGCGAGAGAATGTGCGGCATGTTGGATGGATGTGTTTGCAACGTCTAGCTGCAAAAAATCGAATTGCGGGCCCAGACAAGCAGAAGAAACATTCTTTGACAGTTTTTGCTCCAACGAAGATGTTCTTCAATGTGTGGAGCCGTGCCTGTCGAAAAGGTCGGCCAGGCATCCGACATTTTGCAAAAGGGTTTCCAAGTATGAGGACTCTCAACTAGCCCTTGCGGTCAGGGGTCAGCAAGCGTGTTTCCCTAGCGGCATTGCGTCATCAGGCCAGGCGTAGATGTTTGATGCGACCAGATCAAGCTTGATTTGTTGCTTGAGGCTTGCAGCTTCAATCGCCACACTAAGTATTTGATGTGTCGATGTGAATTCTCAACTTGATCTTTCAACTTGGGTCCTAGTTCTCTACTTGTTGCAAAAAGTACACTTGAAGGCTGTCAAGCGCCGCGAGCTGTATTGTTAAGACGCTGGGGGGGCTGCAGCTGCTTTTACAGACTTTAAGACGTGCGAGCCGGGGCAGAAACCTTTGGCTGTGACACCTACCGCTGCCGCGACGACCAGCAATACCGTGACTACTCGTCATGCTTGAAACCCATGTGTGTGTGAGAGAATAGAAGATCTGCCTGCAAAGCTTCCAGCCATGAATCTAAGAACAATGGACGGATAAATTCAAGAGTCGTGCTCCAACGACGATGTTCTTCAGTGTTTGTGCGCCGTGCCTGCCAAACAAAAATGGTCGGTCAGGGCATCCGTTTATGCAGCCGATGACCATGTTGCAATACAGTAGGGTTTTCCAGGTACGGAGACAGTCATGTTGCTTGTGCACTTGTGCTTGCCGCGTCAATTTTCTCAGTGATCCCCTGTCAGGGGTCATCAAGTAAATGCGCGTGTGCGGGGAACCGGATTTGCAAAGGGACAGTAATACTACAATGAAGCTGGAGTTTGATGGGGTGCACTGGTTGATCATCGGTTTCTACCTGCTTCACGGTGCTTGTGACATCACATACCCACAACCCCGACGCAAAGGTACCTTGGTGGCCACGTCCACTTCAACCGAGAAGGCTGGCCAGAGGTGGCAAATGTCCCTTTTGCCAGGGCCCTGGAGATCACTTTTGTTTTTGGTGTCGCTTCTGATGTCGCTGGAGCGTAGCCACAGTTGCAATAGAGGCTCCTTTGCGACGCGTTCGAGGACGCGGTCGCTTGCAGCACTGCGCTCATATCTTGCCGAGGCCAAATTTGCTGGAAGCACAAAGCGAGGGAACCCAAAAAACGAAGTTCCCACTGTTGTTGCAGACAAAATTAAGCTTACGCCTTTCGGAAACTTTGAGCCAGGAGTAAGACCGGGAACCCCTCTGCTCGGATCGTCTCCTCCCTCCGCAACAGCAGAATTCTTGCGCGGGCGGCGCGGTCCCTCGTCCCGGGTCGGTGCCGGGTCCCGTGTCCCACAAGCTGTCGTGTGAGCAGGCTTTGACAAGCTCGGAAGCAGCTTTCAGTTCGCAGGGCCTCGGACTAGCCCACGCATGTCAGGCTGACCGGCGGCACTTTCACTCCCAATCTCACTCGCACTCACTGGCCGATTCGCTGCATGTTTTCCTCGCTTGCCCTCCCTGCTCCAGCTGCCTGTCGTGTCAGTGGCGGAGAGGTTCGCAGGACGAGGATTGGGCTGGCGACAGCTTGGAGAGTGTAGTGCCGCATTTGTCGATATTTGTCGTTGATGGACCACCGTACTCTGCTTGCCCTGTCACTGTCGGGACTGGCGGCTTGGATTCGGGGAGTCGTCTGTTAGCGACAGATGAAGAGTTGCAGTGGCGGCGGATAATCCTATGTTTGGCCGTCTTGGCCTGTTCTTGCCAGCTTGAATTTCATTTGAATGAATCGGGCTGTCTGCCCCTGCAGCATCCTGCAGCATTTAAATCTGTTTGCTCTTCGCATCGGGAGGCCGCAATTGGCGTTTGCCCTTGCTTCTGCTCGCCATCGCAAGTGCAAAGACGCTGCGGCCGAATGCCCCTTGGCTCCGAAGAGTGAGCGTTCTCAGGGGTCTTTCAAAAGCAAGAGGGGAGACGACCTTGGACACTCTTTGCAGCGGCTGTCAGGCAGTGATCCTCACCGCGACGATGGCCGCAAGCTTGGCAACGACAATGCAGCTTCTCACTGGCTGAAGTTAATTGTCAAATGACTGACGAGTCTACGACCGGCGTTTTCAGGAGCACGAGGAATCTCAGCTGATTTTTTTCTTGCTTCAGGCGAAGCAGACCTGGACCCGCAGTCTTCAGCAGCTTCAGGCGCCAAAAGAGAGAGGCGAACAGACGAGCCAAAAGGGCACGAAGCGCAAAGATAAGGCCTGCAGCCGCCTGCGCCTGCGCGTCGACTCCGTGGCCTTCGTGGCCGCCGCCGTTGCCCCAGACGCAGGGAATCTGAGAGACACCGAGATGCCGGATCTGCGGGAGTAGAATAAGTAGAACTCTGAAGCGGAGTTTTGCTGAGCAAAGTGTTCGTTTTTGGGAAGAGTTTTGCAGACAGGTGGCCTCCTGCGCTTGGAGGGGCTCCTTGGAGCTGCTGGCCTCGGGAAGAAGGACCCCCCCCCCCCCCCTGTTCAATTTCAACGTGATGTGTTGATATTTGTTGGTGGATTTGGTGGGCTGGCCGTCCTTGTCCCTCCGCAAGGTGTGGTCTGCCCGGCAGCTCGGCTCGCAGCGCTGCGGTCGCTGCAACCTCTGAGGCGAGCAGAGCGGCGTCCCAGCACATCTCAGGAGATGGCATGATATGATGATGTGACATGCTGACCTCCTTCCCAAGTCAGGCACTGCTTTGGGAAGAATCCATTGCAGTTTTGCCGGGCCGCTCAGCGAAAAGCGCAGCTAGAAATTCGCAGATTGGCCACCCGACTGAGTTCTGCCACGGTGCAGCGCCATTGCAATGCGGTACTTTGACCGGTTGCCACGGTGCTCCCCATCTCGTCTTATAAGGCTGAGTCCTCGCCGATCAAGAAGGCCGGTGTGTCGCAAGAAAGTGTCCACATGTAGTGATGCAGTATCAGACCAGCCCTGTCAGTATGATGCATTGTGATGCAGAGTTCGGTAATTTTCGGGAGACTTCGGAGCCGGGCCATCTCTGATGCTGCTGCAGCTTGGCAAGGTCCGGTGAGATCTCGCCACAATGCCGCAATCTCAGCTTGGAGATTAGACCCTTGCACTGATGAGTGTGCCAGCGTTTGCTTGCCCATGAAATACAGCCGCCCAGACCGAAAGAATGGGCTTTGCGGCTTTGTGTCGGCCATTGCAGCATGCGACGCCACTCGCCGCTGGGCCCGCTGCTCAGTTTGCCAGTGCCCGAATTGCGGTTTCGCTTTCAAAAAAGCTGCGAAACCGAGTCCGAGAGGAAGCTCGAAAGGACACGAAGCACTTTCAAAGAACTGCAAGATATTGTAATATTGTAAGTCTTCATTTTCAATGTTTTGTTTGTTTCTGCGAGGCGTGGGCCCTGGAGCTGCTTCACAGGGCCCCTGTGCTTGGATTAGGCCGGTGTCACGGCTTTTTGCAGAAGTGTCAATGGGGGAAACCTGTTGGGGCAAAGAATCCTTTGAAACCCCTTTCCCGGAAGGGGGGGGGGGGCTTGGACTTGGAGGCTTCGACTTGGATGTGCTGAATGCGGCCATCAGCGCCTGCGAATCTGCATGGCGGCAGGCCAGCAGGTCGAGAGCTGTTCCACATTGTCACATGTGGCGCTGCAGTCTGCTCTGCTGCTAGGCCTGGGCAACTCTAGGCGTGGCGCTTCTCTCAGAATTGCGCGTAATCGCCCGCGATTTTTCTTTTCCGTTGCACGCGCAAAGGCTGCAAAGGGCCTGGCAGCGCAAAGCCCGCGGCCAGACCTGATTTCTTGGAACACGCCCCTTGCCACGAGTCGCGAGACAGTTTGATGTGCGTTGGGATGTTTGCTGCGATGTTGTTTTTGGACTGCTTGGACTGCTTGGACTGCTTGGACTGCTTGGACTGCTTGGACTGCTTGGACTGCTTGGACTGCTTGGACTGCTTGGACTGCTTGGACTGCTTGGACTGCTTGGACTGCTTGGACTGCTTGGACTGCTTGGACTGCTTGGGCGGGGAGACAGCTCTTTGCCTATGTATAGGTTGCTTACCTGCACACCATGGCCTTCGGCGCTGGAGGCCGGCAGACATGGCTAAGAGTTGTGCAGGGCTTCTGGATGCTTCTGGAGCTTCTTTCGGTGTCCCACTTTCAAAGGCTCACAACATGCGGCAGGTTTTCCGCGGCCTGCGACGGCGAGGACTGCTTCCCGACGTCGTCCACGACCCAGAGGTTGCCCTGCTGTGTCTTAGGTCGCCGTGCCGTGTTTCTGGTTGTTGTCTCGTCATTTATGCCCGAAAAGCCCTCTTGGGTCGGTTTCCTCGTTTAGTCGCTAGTTCTTTGTTCGATCGGGAGGCAAACGGATCGGGACGGGTGATCAACTTTTATCAACTTCTGCGTGTGGTTTCTTCTTGGTCTTCTTGCATATTCTTGCAATGACATCGCGCCTTGCATTCGACAACGACATCATCGAGGGATCGGCGGCTCCGGGCTTGGCTCGACCTTGTGTTTTTCGAATGCGAGGTTCCACAGTTTCCCCAGCACATGCACGACAGCACGCGATCGCCACACAAGATTCTAACTGTGTGAATTCAGTGTGAAAGCAAACCTGTGACATAGCATGCAAGTGCAGAGCGAGTCCTTGTAGGATTTTGTGGTAGCATGTAGCATTGCAAAATGCACGAACAGTCGGCTGTGCTGAGATCTCGACGACTGCTCTGGTCACTGCCTGTGAAGAAGGCAAAGTGCGGCAAAGCTTTGCCATGTGACAGTCTAGCGGAATCTAGCGGAATCTAGCGGAGTGCTCTTTCGGTGCGTTCTGCGAATCGGCTCAGCAGGCCTTCGGTGGTCCACTTCACTCACCGCGGTGTCTTTAATGCGGGAGGACCGTGAATCGATACCATCTTTACAGACGCATCCCAAGACTCAGTGACACAGCGCAGCCCCGAGGACCGGCTGCCTTGCAACGTGCCAGGTGCTTAGTGAGATCCTTGAGATCCTTGTGAGATCCATTGAGATTTTAAGATCTTTCGCCAGATCGAAGGGTCGACACCTGAGGCAGACTTTTACGGTGGCAGCGAGCGTGTGCCAGAGAGTCGGTCGACACAGGCGCCAATGCGAGAGTTTTGGAACTGAGACAGGCCATGAGAGAAGCTTGCTCCGAAGCACAGTAGCTCGGCTGCTCTGCACCATTGGCCCGGAGACTCACAGATGATGGGCGGCATGTAGACTGCGGCATGCGGACAAATCAGAGCAGGGAAGTCACATTGCCGCAAGACATCCTGGACAATTCTCCATGTATCCGCGAAGGCATGTGTCCAAGCAATGAATCACGATATATAACTAAACTCCTCTTTGGCACTTTAACCCTAATGCCAATGCCAAACGAGCGGAGAAGCGTTTCCCACAATCGACCATTCAGAACGCGGCGGCCATCAAACACCGAGATCTACATGCAAGAATCCTTCGACTTGTTGCTACCAGCACTGGCTGGTGCAGCTTGTCCCAGATTTGTGTTACCCCTCGGGATACCCCGCTAGACTCTAATGCGCAGAGGCTGACAGCGGCCTTGAGCTGTGCACAAATAACAGTCTTCTCTTGTGGAGGCTCGCATTGCTCGTCTTGGAGCGCATGCGCCTGGAGGCTTGGTGTACAGAATCTGGCAACATTTTTCCGCGGTGTCTCGCTAGATGCTTCGGGATGTGGGGCGCGACAATTGTCAGGGCTTGGCCTGGGATGTGGCTGCCCTGAGTGTTGCCCTCCTGGCGTGCGAATGGCTTCCTGCGCGATGCCCAGCCTCGGGCAGGGAAGGTCAAACTCAAAGTCGCTGACAGATCAGGCAAGAAGTTGTAGCTCCTGTTTGCTACGGCTGAGCGCAGAATGTTTTCAGTTTCCTCAGCCAGGCTTCCCCGGCTTGCGCGGGGCCTGGAGAATGCCAGAGATTCTGAACATGAAGCTGAATCTGCGCTCAACCCCTCTTGGCCCGAGCTTCGCCAAAAGTGAACATGAACTTGACCCTTATCGCCAGGGTGCACATGTCCTTTGGGCCTCAAACAGCCCTACTCCTAGCGCTCTCTTCCACAGACTTGCCAGACAACAGCATGACAAAAGCATTGAAGCAGAGGTCAACTTCAGAACAAGAAAGCAGCAGGCTAGGACTAAAAAACGCGGTGTCTCTGACCCCTTCGAATCCAAGCAGACCATTGACCGCGCTCCATGAGCAACGCGGAGCGAATGACCGCCGATGGCACAGGATGCCCCCGCAGAGTTGCGCAGCTCACCAAACGTGCTGCACGTGCTTTCGTCTTCCGAACTGGCTTTGCTTGCCACTTGGACACTTGGAGTTGGAGCTTGCCATTAAAACGGAAACGAGTGCGTGGGATAGCAATACTTGGCAGACTTAGTGCGATGCCGTCTCTTCAAAAGGCCTCGCTTGATAGGGGAGAGTTTAGGACAAAGTCTGAACACATCGGTTTAACCGACTCTCTTAAAGCAAAAGCTGCTCTGGTCTGCGCCCCACCTATTGAGAGAGGAGCCCTCTGACAGCGACGAGGCCGAAGCCTCGGCTTCCCTGGAGGGGGGGAGGAGGGTGGGGTAGTCATTCGGTGATTTTTATCGAAAATGATTGATGGCTCCAACCTCGCATCTCTCGATCTTGAGGAGGACCCGGGGCCTCCCGGGCTGCTGGACTCGCTCCAGGGCGATGTGCTGGCAAGGCTCGGCCTCCTCATCACTGGACTTGCCGGGAGTGATGGGAGAGTTCTGGGAGTGCCGTGAGCTTCCGAAGTCTCCGAGTTCAAAGCTCTCCCGCAAAGGTCGCTCCTTGACACCCAGGTGAGCAACGAGCTCAACCTCCTGAAAGGTGAAGTCCGCCGCCTCCGCAGCAAGGCCACTGCCCTGGTCACAACCTTGCGAAAGATCCATGTCATAGTGGTTCTGTGTGCCCTTCCTGCCCTCGATTTCCTTTGATGCTTGTGTGAGCTGCGAAGGTTCAAGCGCTACAGAACGAGAAAGATGACATGGTGGACAACTTCCGATCGACCACGCAGATCTTGCTCAACAGAATCAAGGACGCTTTTGCTCACGCTTGCTCAGCTACTGGATAGCGACCTAGCGGGGGCGAGGCTGGCTCTCTGAGACTTCCAGGAGCTTGAAGCAAGCGATGCTCAAAGCCGGCCACAGACTGCGGCAGTCATCGACAGGATCGAGGCGCACCACCACTTACTGTTGTGCTATGCGTGTGCGACTGGCGCATCTGGCACCGAGCGGATCACACAGAACCTTCTTCTGCTTTGGCTCAAGATAGGTAAGGGCATGATGCTCGGATCACAGACGCTAGAGGCTGCACGATGCGAGGGTAAGCAGAACATTCATGCACACTCTTTACTCCAAAGCTCAAGCCAACTTTTGCACCTTCCCGACCTTTCTTGAGGACTTGGACGCCCCAAGAGTACCCCCCCCAAGAGTGCCCCATGACGGAAGAGTCGGCGCCCCTCAGGATTGGTCTCATCGGCTCCACCCGCGGCTCTTCATCCCAGCTGACATTCGATGCCATTAAGAAGGGCGAGCTGAATGCGAAGATCGTCGTCGTGATTTCCAACAAGGGAGACGCTGGCATCCTCGAGCGTGGTAGGACAGAAGGAGTGAAGGCCGTCCATTTACCCTGCAAGAAAGGAACACCGCGGGCGGAGTATGATGCCACGGTGACGGCAGCCCTGCGTGAGGAGGGCGTCGAGCTGGTGATGCTGTGTGGCTTCATGCGCATTGTCAGCCCGGAGTTCTGCAGAGAGTGGGAGGGCCGCTGCATCAACATCCACCCAAGCCTCCTCCCCAAGCACGCAGGTGGCATGGACCTGGAGGTGCACACGGCCGTGCTGGAGGCCAACGAGACCGAAAGCGGCTGCACCGTGCATCTTGTCACTGAGGAAGTGGATGGTGGCCCCATCGTGGTGCAGCGGAAGGTGCCCGTGGAGGCCGGGGAGACACCGGAGAGCCTCAAGGCAAAGGTTCAGGCACAGGAAGGTCCGGCATTCATTGATGCCATCATGGCATCGCCCTTTTATCGCGAGAAGAAGTAGACGAAGTAGGACGTCGTAGGACGAAGTAGAACGTCTTAGTACGAAGTTACCTGGCCCGGAGCTCCCAGGGAGCTGCCCACCCCCTGGAGAAACTTTTGACTCCTGGGCTTCTCTTGTAAACTATTTTGTGTGCGATCCTGTGCAGCTTGAGGGCCGTTTAGGCGCGCGTGGAGCTGCATTGTGAGGAAGAAGCGCTGTGCTGTGCCGTGCTGTGCCATTGAAGATGAGCCGATGAGCCTCTTGGCAGAGTTCCGCTCTGTTCTGAAGGCACGGGGGGCCGTATCCTCCCAGGCAAAAGGCGGCTCGGGCTCCTCGGTTCAATTTCGCTGCAACATGAGAGCTCTTTCACTGCTCTAATGACTCTAATGCTTGCAGCGAAGGCCAAGCCCCGGAAGTTCTTGACCTGGAGAACAAGGCGCCGTCAGGCGCGCGGCCCGGACGGACAAGCTGGGAATGTTGCCTTGAGCAGCAGTTGAGGCGAGACGCCCGAGTCGGCGCCTGCGACGTCTGCGTGTGGCAACTGCGGTCGGGAGATCCCGTCTGCCAATCTGGTCTCGCACAGCGTCTTCTGCTATCGCGCCTGGCCCCAGCTCCTCTCGTCAACCTCCTCTTGTGAAATAGTCTTGTGACACTTGTGCTTTTCTCGGTCTCGGTCTTTTGTATATGCCTCAGCCCATGCCTCTGCGCGCAGCCGCCACAGGCAACAACTACCGCTGCTCGGCGTGTGATGAAGTCATTGCGACAAGGGACAAGGAGCCGGGGGAATTCGGGGCTTTCGCCTGCGAGTCTCTTCTACCCTAGCTAAGACCTTTGGGCACGCCACGTGTGTCCGACTCCGAGGTTTCGGCCTCCTGTGGCATCCATTCTCTCTTTCGCCATGTGCCCCATCCGAATCGTTTTCTTGAGGAGCGCCACGTGGAGCAGTGGACGGACGGGGCGCGCTTGATGGATGCTGTCTGCCGCCGGGATGCTGTGCCCATCCCGGTTTCTAGCATTCTCGGACCAATTCGGACCATCCTCCTCACTCTCACAGTTTGGGGCGTTGCTGGATTGAGGCCATGATCCAGTGCATGGCAGCACACGGCGTGGACTTCTGCTCAGCCGCGCATCCCGAAACTCAGGAGAGCTGAGAGCTGCCGGAGAGATTTCTTCTCGTAGAGCTGTGTCCTTTCGTCGTGAGAAGACAGTGCATTGACATTTTTTTGCATCCCGCAAGGACACGGTGCTACACGCCGCAGCCGGGCTCGGGGATGTGGAGTTGATCAGCTTCTTCATGGGCTATGGCGTGGAGGCGCCTTCCTTTCGCTTTCTCTCGGGGTGTCCTTGAGACTTGCCATGCCAGGTGGATCCCAGCAACTTGCAGGGTGCCACGCCTCTGCATGTGGCCGCAGAGGCCACGCAGCTGCTTGGAGCAAATTACGGCAAGTATTGCGTAAATACGGTTTGAAAAAAGTTTTGTCCATGTAGAATCGCAAGCCCCTCGGCCTGTTGCAATTTGCGTCATTATCCGTCTCGAGCTGAACCGAGACATACCGCAAACACACTGTCAATTTGCACCATGATCAGTCGCTGATGGCGAGGTAAACGAGGTAAACGAGGTAAACGCTTCACTGTGTGGCTCTTTGGCTTCAATGTAGGGCCCAGGGTTGTGTAGTAAGGCCAGGCTATGCCAGATGCTTAGAAGCCTTTTGCAAGAATTACTCGCGGGCTGCTGTTTGCATAAGGCTCGGGGCAGTGAAGTTGCTTGCGGAGCTGGGTGCAGATCTCAACGCCGCTTGGCTGAGGAATGCTGAGGATGTGATCACTTCTCCGCGCAAGTTCGGCCGTATCCCGGTTTCGATTGCGTTCTGGGACCCGAGGTCCGAAACGGTGCCGGTGAGACGCCGCTGATGCTTGTCTGCCGCAAAGGCCACGCCGAGGCGGCGAGCCTCCCCTCTCCTCTCCAGTCATAGCAATTCGATTCGCGTTCTCGGCCCCTTGAGGCGGCCAAGTATCTGCTGGAGATGCGCGCTGACGCGGAGGCAAGGGCAAGGCATCTAGCCGCAGCGTGTCAGAGCTCCTGTGACTCCAATTCGATGGGAGGCAGGAACGAAGCTGGGGGACACGCCGCTGCAGCTTGCACAGCGCCTGGGTTTCCAGGAGCCCGGTTTCATTCAAGATCAGCCCGCCGTGGAGGGCATCCTGCCACCTGACTGCCATCCTCGGATCCTCGGATCCTCGGATGTAGGAGACCGTGCACGCTCTCTGCTCTGCGGGCGCCCCGCTTCGGCCAGGGACCCCCAACCGTTCCCGGCCGAGGAGCGGATCATGGCGGATCATAGCGGATCCCAGGTTTCAGTTGCATGGTACATCATGGTACCAGGTTAAACTATCGCCAGGCGAATGCCCCCTCCTCCGCCTTGTTCCTCTTTGTTACCCTTTGTTCCCTAGGAGCCCATCGCCCTTGCCTCCGCGACCGAAGTCAGGCGAAAGCCCCAGGCCAGAACCCATCGCTGTGCAGGGCGCTGACTTTTCTGCTTTTTTGTCACTTCGGAGGCCCTTTAATCCCTTCCCCCTTATATTAAAGGTACCCCTAATACTAAAAATACTTTCTTGAAAATCCTGCCGAAACCGAGCCCGCCTTTTAAACCCCATTTCGATTTAGGGGGGTGGTTCAGGCCTCCAAGAAATCCCTTCAACACCAATAAAACCCTCAGAGGGTTTAGGGTTGGGGGTCTAGGGTTGAGTGTGCGTGTGCGTGTGCGTGTGCGTGTGCGTGTGCGTGTGCGTGTGCGTGTGCGGGTGCGGGTGCGGGTGCGGGTGCGTGTGCGGGTGTGTGTGTGTGTGTGTGTGTGTGTG